ATGGAACCAGAGAAGACCTAGTGGACATGTTTATCGTCCACACAATGGAAGAAATCCAAGGCTTAATGGACGCACATGCCGCGTTCAAGGCTACCCTCGGCGAAGCGGACAAGGAGTACAACTCGATTGTAGGTTTGGTGCGCGAAGTTGAATCCATAGTTAAGCAATACCAGATTCCCGGCGGCCTGGAGAATCCTTACACTACTCTCACTGCAATGGTATATTGAAGGATAAATTATTGATACATATATATTATAGAAATGAATCTCAAATTAATCAGTATATTATTTGTTTTATAGGATCTTACCAAGAAATGGAGCGACGTTAGACAATTGGTTCCTCAACGCGATGGTACTCTGGCCGCTGAACTTCGCAAACAACAAAGTATCCTTGCTTTACGATATACGACATTAGTATTTATTAGTTTATTATATATAAATAATCTCTTCTCTGAAAATTGGTATTTATTAACCGGCGTATTTTATATTAAAATTTCTATTACAAGCTTCAATGACACCCAATTTTCAACGATCACACAAATATACATTTCAAAAGATATTTCCTGAAATGTGAAAACAGATAATGAATTACTTAGACGACAGTTTGCTGAGAAAGCTAATGTCGTCGGACCATGGATAGAACGTCAATTGGATGCCGTGACTGCGATTGGCCTCGGCCTTCAGGTAATAGATGTCATCTGCATTATGTAAAGATTTACATCGTTTATATTACATTCAGATTTTTGAATATTTGTATCTATATTTTAGGGAACTCTTGAGGATCAATTACATCGTCTAAAAGAATACGAACAGGCGGTGTATCAATATAAGGCACATCTCGAGGAATTGGAGAAAATCCACCAAGCAGTTCAGGAAGGCATGATTTTCGAGAACCGTTACACTCAGTATACCATGGAGACTCTACGTGTCGGTTGGGAACAGCTTCTAACCTCAATCAATCGTAACATTAATGAAGTCGAGAATCAAATTCTCACCAGAGATTCGAAGGTACTTCTAAATTAGATTTCTCTAAATCACAAATAGTGTATATGTTGTTTGCCATATGTTTATATGTTACTGCACAGGAATTTCAAGAATAACAACTAGCGCGTTTTTTTTTTTATTTTAGGGCATCACCCAGGAACAGTTGAATGAATTCCGCAGCAGTTTCAATCACTTCGACAAAAACAGGACGGGCAGATTGGCACCGGACGAGTTTAAATCTTGCCTCGTGTCTCTGGGTTACTCCATTGGAAAGGACAGGCAGGGCGACATTGACTTCCAACGTATTCTGGCCATCGTCGATCCCAACAATTCGGGCTACGTTCACTTTGACGCCTTCCTCGATTTCATGACGCGCGAATCCACCGACACCGACACGGCAGAACAAGTCATCGACAGCTTCCGCATTCTTGCTGGCGACAAGGTAACAGAATATTAAAACTTTCTGCAGCAACAACTTTCACAACGATGAAAGAGAGCGTATCAATCAACGTAAATTCTCTTGCCCTTTAGCCTTATATTTTGCCGGACGAACTGAGGAGGGAACTACCGCCCGATCAGGCGGAATATTGTATCCAGCGAATGCCTCCGTATAAAGGACCGAGTGCCGTTCCCGGCGCACTCGATTACCGCTCCTTCTCGACGGCCTTATACGGCGAATCTGATCTGTAGATAAATGATAATGATATCAAAATTGGTAAAAATGAAAAAAAAGGATCGGGTGTACACATCAGCTGACAGGCGAACATGCCTAAAGATTTGTCCTATTGTTTTAATACTCTAACGCATAAACGTATTTTCATGACGTATTTGACGATATGTTTTACGAAAATGGAGCTTACTACAGGAGCTCTCAGTACAATACATACGCAATCAGTCATTACGCTAAATATTAATCACTGTGTACGTATACGCGCGCATACATATTAGAGGCTGTTGAAATATCGGGGACTAAGAAAGAATAAGCGATATCATTTTAACGCAAAGGAATCTAAGTGTATCATATAGAGAAAAGTAAACATTAACTTTTCCAGCAGAATATCTTTCGCGCACGAATAAAAATTAAAATTACATATCAGAGAGATATACATACAGAATAAAAAGATTATGTATTTACATAAGTATACTAATGCGACAATAATGAATATGATATATTTGGATACCTTTCGTTAAAAGGATAGAAACTCTTTAACACGTAAATTTATAACACCAAGTTCGAAATTGATATACTCTTCTAAAGATTCTTCTAAACTTTTTGCTACATATTTATTCTTCTATTCTTTTATGTAGCCTATACTGAAATGAGACAACTTGGATTTTTCCTTTTTTCTTTCGGGAAAACAAGTGCCAATCGATAAGTAAGATTTTGTACGATTCCTCTCTTTGCGAAAGTCTCGAAAAGGAATTGAATATCAAGCTATTAAACTTGAGACATGGCAAAAGGAAAAGCTCACATATTTGTATATGTGTTAGTGAGTGCATTGATACTAGAGGCTCTCCGAATTATTATTATTACTAGTAGTATTACTAGTACTATTTCCTTTATGTGTATTGGAATATTAATTCTAAAGTTCTACAATATATTCTACATTTTTTTGTATAATTATATAGCGGAAGATATATATAAATATATATTTTTAGACTTGCAATTTTGCCATTGTAGCGTGACACGAATTTAATGTTTTTGAATTGGATTTTACTGACGATAGAATCCATTATATATCTTTATTACATTTTATAATCGTATCGTGTTTGTCGATAAATGATTGTGCTCCCTCTTTCAAAAATTGCCAAATTTTCTGTCGCATATCGGGTGCACACGTTATGAAGCGTTGACATTCGGTTCACGCCATAGATCAATGTTCGCACAAATATACGAAAAGAACGATGAGATATTAAAGCTCAGAAGAGTAATAATAACGAACTTTGCGAGTCTTAACGATATAAATCGACCTTCTCGCCAAGTATCCAGAAAATGTACGCTCGAAATCGAATAATGTTCATATTTTTTTAGTGAGCGCGGCATTACGAATCCTTAAAGATGAAGCTGTGTCTCGCTTTATACACTTTGTGTAAATCGTATATTAAAGATACGCGAGAAACGAATATGCTGAACGAAGCAAATTATTTATTTATTTGATTTTAATTATTATTTATTATATCGCTCCGATATGTGTATTGATTTTACGGTAGTTAATGAAATACTTTTTCTCAAAGTATTTATTTTTATAAATAATTGCGCGAGGAGCGCGATAAGGGGCGTTAATTGTAATATAGAGTCCACCATGTAAATCTCTAAACCACAGCTGCCATTTCTCGTATCACATTTTAAATAGCCTTATCTATATATCAAAAATGACGTCAGTCATCTGATCATTATATTATTATTGTTCGAAATCGCGGAAGTCATTCTTTCGATAAAAACGCTCGCGTGTGAAATGCAATTATTTTTATCGGTAAAAGCATATTACAAGCTTTTTCCGTTTCGCTTGTTGCGCTTTAATACGCTTCTCGATGTCTCTATCTTTTTTTTAATGTTTTTTTCTGTTTACATAATTTCTCATTCCTATGTGTTCCTTTTTCTTTCTCTCTTTCGGGATATATTACATATTGGGCACACAGAGATGAATAATGTACGAGAAACACGCCAAAGCAGAACGCCGACTGCTGGAACAGTATACACTAAATAATGATAAACGACGAACACGCACACGCACTTTCTCACATGTACATGTATACACTGAAAAAGAAGAAATATACGTAATATCAAAAAGGGAAGCGTATATCTTGATACGTATCTGATCTATCTGCAAAAGAATTTTGAACTTTCAAAGATGAAGTTCGAATATTCGGCAGATTAACAAAGTCTTCGAACACTTTGTTACTGAACAGTTGTCAAATAGATGAATACACATTATCATTTATATACACGTAATTGTAATTATATTATTATCATTATTATTATTATTATTATTATTATTTTACAGTATTTGTAAAATTGCGACAATTTGAAAATGGAAGCCTTACTAAAGAAAAAAAAAACAAAAAAAAAACACGGCCGCCTTGCGTTGCATTACACATTTATCAGCTATTATTGTATACTTGTTTTGCCCATTTCATCTTCCTAAACTAGATTAATAACAAATAACATTGTGAGACAAGAATATCGGGGAAAATAAAGAAATATTTGAAAAAAATATATCGCATCAGTTTATTTTTTTTATCTTGGATGAAACGTTTTATGTTCGAAATGTTTCTCTTGATGCGTTTATCGAAAAATTTGTCTCGTTAAATTAAGATGAAATTCGCCTGCTTTATATTTGTATAGTTTATTTAGGAAATACCTACTTAGGAGAAAGACTATATTATATATTAATGAATCATCTTTCAATATAGAAACATGTACAACGAATGCGTGTGTGTGGTTAAACGATGCTTTTTTATTCCAAGTACAAAAATTTTCGATACACATCAGATTCGATATATCGGACTCGAGTCTATGAATGAATCGAGTGAAATTTATTTATTCATCGACGTATCTCTCATGAGACAAAAAAGATTTATTAACAATCGCGTAAAAATTTACAGATAAATTAGCGCATGGTACGCTACGCGAAAAGAACGTTATCTTACACGCTATTCTTATACGTAATTCTATTAATATTTACATAAAAGAGACTTTAATGATAATATCACCGCTCTGTGCGTTTTCGCTCGATTATATATGGCTATTACATGATCGTACAAAAAAAGTACACGATACATTTTATTAAAATAATCACCCGAAAATAACCTTTTTCGTAGCATCGGCGACTGTAAGTGAATCAGTTTCCTCGAAAAGGCAACAGAATTTAAATTTTGCAGCAATAAAGAGAGACAATATATATGTATATATA